TTATAAATAGTATATCTAGTCTTAATATTAGCTATCTTACGTAAGAAGAATATAACTAGATACTATTAGATCTTTTTAGACTCTATTAGTCTAGACTAGAAGAGTATATCTAAGATTATAAATTTTAATATATTAGTTTTAATATAAATAGGTTTAGTTAGATTAAAGTATACTAGTAATAGAGCGGTTATAAATATCTCTTTAATCTTCTTAAAGAATATTCTTTTAACCTCTATTAATTTAATAGATTATAACTTAATATTATACTATTTCTATCTACTATAGACTATAATAGATAAATTAGTAGTAGTAGTATATATATTAAGTAGTGCGGCTAGATAGAAGAAGTATTTAATAAATTTTTAATAATAGTTAGTAAAGCTAATAAAGACACGTATATCTTAAATAGATTTTAGTTTAGACTATTCTATAATAGTAGTAACTCTATCTCTCTCTATAGTTATACCTTAATTAGTAATAATAAAGCTAAGAAAGTTAATATAGTTCTAATAGAACTTATATTTAAATAGCTTAATATATAGCTTATACTTTTCTAGTCTATCTAGAACTATATATATATACTAGATATACTTCTTCTTATTATCTAAGAAGATAAGAATATTATCTAGATATACGATATATATTATATTAAGTAGATCTACTAGCGCGTTATTAATATATACTTAGAAGGTATCTAGCGCGTTAGTTAGTCTAAAAGGGACTATAGTATACTTAAAGTATCTATAACGGGTTCTAAAAGCCGTTTTCTATTTATCGCTCTCCTTAATATAAAGGTAATAGTAGGTATTATATATATTAAGCTTAGTAAAGATCTTTATATATTCTAGTCTATTAATAGACTTATAGATAAGAGGTAGTAGATAATAATTCTTTTATATAATATTATTTAGACTATAGTAGTTAATATATAGATAGAGGCTTCTATTCTTCTTCTTTATAAAGAGAATTAGAGCTCTAGCTAGAGATATACTAGGTCTTATCTATTCTTATATAAGGTTCTTTTTAATATATTCTTAAAGAACTTATAATTTAGATTCTAAAAGAGGGTAGATAGATCTATATAGAGGTTACTAGCTATCTTTAAGATTAATAGTAAGATTAGTAGATTAGTATTAAGATAGTTTAGAGGAATTAATTACTAATATAATATATTAATATATTTTATACTAATATAGTAGGTTTTTATCTACTTTAATACTAAGCTTACTATTTTAGATAAGTAAGAGTATATAGATAGTAGAGATTACCTTCTTATAATCTTTCTAGAATTATTTATTATTAATAAGCTATACTAGTTTCTATTAAGATAGGTTTATATACTAGCTAGCTATCTTCTTAAGAAAGTCTAGTTTTAGATTATATTTCTTAAGCTATAGTATATCTAGAATTATATTAAAGGGGCTATCTACTATAATAAAGGTTAAGTAGTAGGGTTTCTATTTCTCTCTACTATTCTAGATACTATATTTAATAGTATAGATACTATATAACTTAATAGAACTATTAATACTATAGAATATAGTATCTATTAGAGCTTAGATATTAATATTAAGTTCTTATACTTATTAAGTTAATATAATATTAGTAGCTAAACTACTATTAAGTATTATAGTCTAATATTATCTATAAGGGACCTTAATAGGTCTAGTCTATAGTTTAATATACTATTTAGCGGCTTATCTCTCTATTATAGTTATATCTATAAGTTATAAGAGTTTCTTATAGATTATTAGTTTTTTATATTCTATACTAGATAGTTAGACGTGATATATTCTAGCTACTAGTACTTATAATATATAACTAATTAGTTAGTTATATTAGTACTTAGTAGTTTCTCTAAATAGTACTTAGATACTATATAGTCTGTTCTACTATAGGTATAGTAAGTAACTATAGGTTATTTATATAAGTTAATTCTTATATCTTAAGATATTAATTAGTAGAGAGACCCACGATATAGTCCTTGTAGTTTTAAATTTAAGGCGTAGTAGTAGCCTTATAACGTCCTACGAGATCTATTACTAAATTAGTTTTAGTTAGATAATTTTATATCTAATTAGATTATTAGAGATAGTTATATACTAGTATAGTATTAATTATTTATTATATACTAGTATTACTCTATAAGATTTATAAGAGCTTAGAGATCTATAGAGATTATTATTATAAGATTAAGATAGTTCTTTATATTTAGAGTAAGAGACCGTTTAAAGTTATTATATTATTAAATTATATAATCTTCTTTAGCTTCTCTCTAGCGAGGCTAAAGGTATTTAAGAAGTTATAATAGTAACTAATTATCTTATTATTAAGTCTTAAAGATATAGTTCTAGACCTAGTTATATTATTTAGCTCTATTACTAAAATATTAGAGAAGGAATTTAGTAAATATATTCTAGTTATAGATATCCTTAGAATATTTAATTTAGTATACTATCTAACGTTCTAAAGGTATTAGATTAAGGTAGTTCTAAGTAAATCTAATTTTATTACTATTATTTATAAATAGATAGAAGAATTAGCTATATTAATAAGTCTATATATAGAAACTCTTTCTACTTTTACTATTAAAGTAAGATAGTTTCTTAGATTAGAGTAATTAAGATAGTAGTAGACTAGAATAGACTATTTTAGTTAGTATAGATCTATATAGATATAAATTAGTTATTACTAGAACTAAAGTATATAATATAGCTTTAAGTCTTATAGTACGTCCTTAAGCTTTATTAAGTTTATATAGTTATTACTTAAGTTAAGTCTAACGTTACCTTTCTTCGTATAGTCTAGTATATATATTATTATAAGATATAGTTAATATTAGATGATTCTAATAGATTAACTTATTAATATTAATAGAGTCTAGTCTTATATTAAGGTTAGATCTAGTATAGTTTAAACTAGACTAAGATAGAGTATAATAGACTCTATCCTTATATTCTATAATATCTTCTATAGTTATATAGAATATTATATAAGTTATTAGTATAATAGTCTATAAGATATAGTTATTAGTAGAGGTAGTTATAGATAGACTATTCTTCTTATTTAAGTTAGAAGAAGGTCTACTATAAGAGGCGGTACTATAAGTATTATAATAAGTAGTTAGAGCTATTTCTATAAACTACTATTATACTATATAAAGAGAAATTAAAATATAAGAATTATAGACGTAGAATAGTACTCTAATAGATTATAGAAGGATTTAGAAATATATTTAAAAGGGTAGTCTACTCTTATAATAAGGTTAATTTCTAAAGAGTAGAAATTAGATATATATATTCTACTTATATAGTACTCTTACTTAATCTAGCTAACTTAATCTAGATCTATCTATTATAGGACTATACTAGACTATAGTAGTCTAGCTAAGTCTATTCTAGTATTAATTCTAATAATCTCTTAATAACTATTTACTATTATTATTATTATCTCTATATATTAATCTAGGCTATTATTACTATCTATAGTATTCTATACTCTACTCTTTAAAAACGCCTTAATAGATAGTAAGACTTATACTAAATAGCTAATTATTATCTTTAAATACTATCTTCTAATTAAGAGAAGAATCTATATAATTAGATAATCTACTTAGATTAGATATAGATAGCTCTAAGCTATATAATTATCTATAATATAATAATTAAAATTATAGCTATATCTAGAGAAATAGTTAAATTAGATAAGAGATAGATTATAAAGTTTCTAATATAGAATATATATATTAAAATACTCTTTAGTAAGGCCCTTAATAAGGAATAGATATAGACTACTATCTATAATATAATTAATATATTCTATATATTATATAATTAGATCTACTCTAAATTTAATATTCTATCTAATTACTATTAGAATATAGATAAATAAGATATAGTCTAAGAGGTTATAAATAATTAGTACTATATAGAAGAGATAGAAGTTAATTCTAAGTATAAAAATATATATATTTAGAGTTCTACTAATTATAAATAGACCTTAATTATAGAGTATATATCTATAATAGAATAGAAGCTTTATTCTATAATTATATTTAAAGGAAAGATAATTTAGACTATATAGTTCCTAGATAATCCTTCTAATTAGATATATATAGTATCTTTATATAGTTAGATATTATATTAGATTACTCTAAAGTAGCTATAGAGTATATTTATACTAGAGATAAAGATTCTAGAAGAAAAGTAGAGACTTCTATTAGTTAATAGCTATAGAAGCTATATAGAGATTAACTTTATATATATATATACTAGATAAATAAAATCTATATAGTCTATTTATCTACTTATACTAGCTATATACTATAGCTACTTAACTTAGCTTATTTTTCTAGTCTAAAGAGAAAATATTATAATCTTCTTAATAAATTAATATATCTTAATAATAAGACTCTACTAAAGAAGCTTTAATTTATTAAGTACTACTATAAGATTTAGAGATAATAGCTATAACTATCTTAGATTATAGAAGAATAGAGAGCTATAGAGCTATATCTATTTAATTACTTAAAAGAAATAAATAGTTCTTTAATATTATCTAATTTAGATAAATATCTAAAGACTCTATCTCTATTTATATAATAATAGAATCTAGCTAATATATTTTATAGTTCTTAAGATATATATTATAGAGTAGAGATACTCTAATCTAATAGTAAGCTATTAAATAAGACTTAAGATCTATTATTCTTATTAATATAGTCTATAGAATAGCTAATAGCTAATATTAGATAATTAGAGATATATATAGCTAAGCTTAAGACTTAAAATAATAGTCTAGTCTAAAAGAGAAAATAGAAGAAGATTAAAATAGACCTTAATAAATAATTTATAAATATAATATATATAAAGAAGACTATAGATAAGAAGAAGAAGAAGATAGTAATAGAGATAGTTTAAGCTATTAAATATATAGAAAAGCTTAAGAAATTAGAGACTTAATTACTATAGACTAGATAGATAGTCTCTAAGAAGATATATAAGGCTTATTTATATAAATTCCCTCTATTTTAAGTATATAGTTATTAATATAGGCGTTTAGAGTTATACTCAAATCACGTGGTTCATTAGTGGGTTGGCTCATTAGTGGGTACGTCAACTTAGTTAGTGCGTCTAGGCGATACTCCGTATGTTAGCTGTGCATGCTTGACACAGAATCAGTACCGGGTACAAACATGAAACTTCAAAACCTATTCACCAGGTACGTATTGGTCATCGCGCCAATATTCCCGCCTTAGCTGATGTCAAGTCATGTACATATCCCCCCGATCATAGATATATATGTCCGAATCAGCGTTTGTCTCGCTATGGCTGATCCCCACGATACCGTTTGCTCTCATCACGCCGCCCATATCCCGCTTCCCTGTTGTATTCTCTCTCACAGTCTTCATACCTGTCTGTCGTGGCGTCAGAACCTTCGTCCTTGCGGCATTTCCTCTTATTACTGCGGTACATATCGCGATTATCGTTATCACGTCGTCGTCTGTGACAGCGGGAGGTAGAAGTGCTCCTGTCGCGACTCTCACAATGGCTACGCGAATGTTTGTGGTCTATGTCTTGACCCTGAGTGCGATCATCGTACTGGTATTGATACCGGTCCCGGTCCTTGTCAGTATTTCGCCCGCGCCTCCTTTTCGAGCTCTTGTGGTAATCGTCACGCTCTGGCCGTTTGTCTGTGAATTCGGTCATTATACAGCTGGGTGACCTGCGTTTTGCACGACGATGTTCCTTGTCATCATTATGCACTGATTTCTCACGTTCCCGCCTAGCTTTTAACTCCTGCTCTGTGATGTCTTCACCTGTATGTTTGTGCTTGAGCAAGACCGGTACATACGAGGTCTGCTGTCGTCCTTTGCGATGTTTATCTGTCTTACCCCATGCACCCAGCTCTTCGCCGGTGGCGTCTTCCGGCTTCGCTCCAATGCCAAGAAGCGCGGGACGCCGTTCTAGCACTCTTGGTTTGACGACAGGACCATCTCGTTTACGACCAATAGATTCGCCGTCTTTCCAGCCCATACCTCGTAATAATGCTGCACCAAATCCCTCGATAGGTGTGTTTTCATAATCCGCAATCGATGCCATATCTGGCGCTTCCTCGTATGCCTGTTGAAATGCTTCCCTATCATTAACAGCTAAAGAAATGATACGATTCGAGGCCGAGGTATCCTCTAACAGTGCCTCAAGTGCCAGCTCCTCATCTGTTTTGTGGATTGCCTTGACGGTAGCCTCATGTGAAGCTTGTCCAACGTCTGGTAGAGTTTCTGTGTCTTTCTTAGGGGCTATTTTCAGACCGTACCGTATCTCTTCTGCGTTATCGACGTCCCGCAATGTGTCTACGGGTTGTTCTCTTGATGATGATGGGCCCTTTTGCCTCTTCATCTTCCGCTCAAGCCAATTCCCTTCTTTCCACTCCGGCGGAAGTGCAATGATGCGAAGACCTTCTGGAGTTCCCCGGGTCTTCTCATGTATTGCTTTACCACCCGAGAATGAGGTGATGGTCCTTTCAATCGTGCCGTCATCTTGATGATCGAAATCGTCAAGGGTTGTGTGACCACGCTGAGCGCCTGTTGTAGAGGTGACTTTAGATTTGAACGGCTCCGACTTCCTCGTACCGAAAGTGAGCGAGATCTTCGCCGGCGCGGGTTTCGAAGGCATTCTCGCTGCCTATGAATGTCTCGTCTGATGAAGGGTGGTCCCCAAATGGTATGCAGGCGCGGTCCCGTAGTAGGTCGTAAACCATGGTAGTCATAGGCAGTGTTCCGGGATTACGAGTTATACTCCGGAGCGTCACTCCAATCGCTTCGGAGTGGCCGGGTGACGTTCTCTTTACACTGGAGCTAGTTCTAGTCTTACTTCTAAAATATATTACTAATATATCTTACCTCTAGTAGTTCTCTATAAAGAGAATAAAATCTAGTATATAGCTATCTCTATTTAGAGTTTCTTTAAGATAAGATATTCTATCTATTATCTCTATTTAAGTATAATAAATTATAAATAAAAACTAATAAAGAGTATATAGTTAGTAGTATAAGTAATATAAAGAATAGTATAATATATATATAAGATATCTATAATACTATAGATAGTTTTAAATAATAATTTAAGATAATAATAGATACTAATAAAAAGAACTAATTATAGATACTTAGAATAGATATTCTAAGTAATATATTAAGTAAGTAGAAATAGATTAGTAGTATTCTAAGTAATATATAGAGTACTTAGAATAGATATTCTAATTAAGATATCTTACTAGAACTATATAGATTCTTTAAATCTAATCTCTAGATATAGTTCTATAGTTATTAAGTTAAACTTATTATAATATAATTACTACTTTACTTATCTACTAGCTAGTTATTATTTATATCTTATTAATACTTAGTATAAGTCTATTTAACTCTACTTAATAGTCTAAGTATCTTTATCTATAGAAAAGCTAGAATACTCTATATAATAGACTACTATAGAGATAAGCTATACTCTACTAGAAAGATTTATTATAGTTTAATTACTCTTATTAAGATACTTAATCTAAGTATTTATACTATCTATCTAAATAATAATAGTAAATAATAGATAATTCTTATTTATATAAACTACTCTAGAAGTTCTAACTATAGAATAAGTTAAAGAGCTAATTACTAAACTTAGAGAATAAATTACTAGACTTAAAGAAGAGAATACTAAATATAGAAAGACTAAAAAGAACTTTAAAAGAAAGATTTCTAAACTCTTTAAAGATAAATAAAATAAACTCTAAGAATTTCTAATATAAGTTAGAATCTACTTTTAGATCTATTAGATCTAAGATCTAAAAGAATAAGTTATATTTACTATAGAATTACTTAAAGAAGATATATTTACTTTATTTAAACTCTATTTAAGAAACTATGTTAAAAATAATCTAGAGAAATAATAGAATAATATAATAAATTATAAACTAAGACTATAGAGAGATATATAGATCTTAGTATAGATAGTATAGAGAATATTATAATATATAAAAGAGATATCTATAATACTATAGATAGTCTTAGAAAGTATTATAAAAAACTTCTTCTATCTTAAGAGACTAAAACTAGTTAATTTAGGGCGATATAGTAATCTATAGATATAAATTAATAGTAGAACTATAGAACTAGATATAGATAATAATCTAATACTTTAATTATTAGAGATATAGATATACTAGATAGAGGTACTCTTAAAAGGCTATATATAGCTAATATTATTAGAGCTATAGTACCTAGAAATACCTCTATAGAACCTAGAGTAATAGTATATATAATAGAGATACTACTAAATACTCTAACTATAATAGAAAATATCTATTCTAGTTAGTAATATATATAAAATATAAATAAGTTACTAAGTATATTAACGCTATAAAGGTAAGAGAAGTAAGGTAGATATACTAGACTATAAGGTCTCTTCTATCTACTCTAATCTTATCTATAATTATATCTACTAATCTATAAGGGAGTAAGAATAATATATAATAGTATACTATATAGAGAAAGATAGATTAACTCTAGAGTATTCTTAAGATAGCTATAGTATAGAGATAGTTACGCCTTAATACTACTAGTATATAGATCTAAGTATTCTCTAGTATCTAATAAGGGACTAAGATATATTTATTATTATATAGGTAAATATATAATATAAATAAGAAAACTAGGCTATACTTCTTAAAGAGATAGATACTATAATAATAGCTATCTAGAAGCTATATAAATACTACTAAACTAATAATATATCTAGAGTACTATACTATCTACTCTCTAAGCCTAGATAGAAGAGTTCTATTCTATATATATAAATTAATTCTACTCTCTAAGTAGTTCTATATAGAATAAGATAATCTCTAAATAATACTATATCTATAGATAAATATAGAATCTCTCTATATCTATAATATCTATAAGTAGAGAGAATTACTTATACTAGATACTATACTAGAGAGTATTATAGTACTAGAATAATATATTCTTCTAGATAACTTTAATCTCTACTATAGATAGTAGAGAGATCTAATAGTTATTAGAGAAGAGCTTAGAGTAAGAGAACTCTATACAAGGTACTATAACCTTCTATACCTTCTTATACTAGTTAGATAAATTATATAGAGGAAATATAATAATAATAATAATAATAATATTATATAACTAGGTAGAGTAGTACTCTATAGGCCTATACCTTCTCTAGTCTAAGCCACTATATAAGAAGAAACCCTATAGGGAAAAACTTCCTTATATCTATAACTACATCTCGTTAAACCTCTATTTCGTCTTAAGTATATAGCTATAGAGTACGCCTATTAGTCTATAGTCTATATTACCGTTATTTCGCCCTTAGGTAGCACGTATAGATGCGGAGGTTATTAGTTAAGGGCTGCCCTTAACTAATAATCGGGGTTCTCCTAGGGTTCTTCCGGTATATATCGGGTTACTACTAGTATATACCGGGTCTCTTCCGGTATATATTTCCGGGTCCACTAGTACTAGAGGAGTAGTAGATATATAAGTATCTATCGGGAGACGTCCTTAGGGTACTTATTAAGCTATTATACGATATCTAAAGTCTTTATAACGTAGATAAGCTATTACCGTTATATATAGAGGTTAGGGCATATAGCTAGATAGTAGCGTATTATACCTCTCCGGCCGTACGCCTTATACTATAGAGAGGTATTAGGAACGCCTCTCTTATAGATATAGTATAGAAGTCCTATAGCGCCCGTTCGGGCTTAGATAAGTATAGATACTTAGGCTTTCGTTAGCCCTTTATATATCTATTTACTTAGTTCCTTCTATAGCCCTCGAATCTACTCTAGGTACCTATTCTACTAGGAGATCTAGTAGGCATAGAGTGCCTCTTTCTACTTATCTTAAGTCCACGACCGTATGTTTTTTATAAGTTCTTAAAGGCTCTACTAGTCTAGGAGAGCGTCCGGGTTATCTCGGACTTCTTATACTACTTAGCTAGAGTTAGTTTCTATTAAGCACCTATACCGTATTTAATTCCGGCCTATATATAGAAGTGCGCGGTAATATATACTAATTCGTGCATATAGCGCAGCGAAAGTATATTCTACATTTCCTATACGTTTCTATACTTATTATTTAGTAAAGTATACTACCCTCTATATCTAGTAGAAGTTATATATACTTATAACGTCTATCTCGCGTCGTAGTAGTACCGTGTTAGTAGCTTTATATACGCCTAATATAAGACGGAGTATACGGTTCTATATAGATTCGAGCTTTATTCGCCTAGTCTATATAAGGGCCGTGTACTAGCACTCGTGTCTATACGTGAAGGCGGGTCGTACTATAGATATATATAGCTAGTATACCTTATCCCGGGCGGTTCCCCACGTAGAGGCTATAATCCGTTATATAGTAGCTTCTACCTAGAGAGCTCTAGAGACGGTATATACTACTTATAGTCTCTATTTAAGCTTACTATCTAGTATAACTCCGAGCGCGCGTATACTTTATACTAGTAGTTCGTTAAACGCGTCGATTCGGGGGCGTTATTCGCCTTCCCTAGTTACCTATTTCCCTTAATAGTTAATAAAGTATATAAGCTAGTATTTCTCCGGGGCGAACTTTACTCCGTAGCGTTTTACCTACTAGAGGCACCTCTCGTGGTTCTATTCTAGTCGTCTATACGTTCGGTTAGTATTATTATTAATAGCTAGGAGGTATATATTATCGGCGTATCCGACTACCTCTATATACTTTATTCCTTAAAGAAGGTCTACTATAAAGAAGAGGAATAGAATCGGAGAGATAGTACTCCCTTATAGGATGCCGTATACCGTCTCTTTATATTCGCTCTAGTACCTAGAGATATATATCTAAGTTATTCTTCCTATAAGGAATAACTATATAAAGCGTATAATCTATTCTAGTATTCGTCTTATCCGGAGGTTATAAATAAGTCTTATATGGTTTACCTTATTAAACGCTCCGGCTATATTAAGGGAGAGGAGCGATACTACCCGTCCCTATTTCTATACGGCCTAGACGACTTTAATAATATATTAGATAGCTATTATTAGAGAGCTATCTATCTTTGCCTTCTAGTTCGGAGGGAGGAGATTATATTTCTATACCGCGGTACTTATCTTCTTCGCTACCGTAGCCTCTAGTATCTTACCTAGGTAGGAGAGAAGGGTAATTAGTCTCTATCCCTTTAGGGAGTTAGGGCTCTTTCCTAGTTTCGGGAGTATAATAGTATAGGCGACTCGGAAGCTCTAGGGGTGGTATCCCTACGTGACGCATGCTTAGAATATATAAGTAATAAGCGGTAGAGTCGCTTTTATAGTACTTTTTAGATATCGATTTAGAATTCCATCTGGTCTAGGTACTTTATTATTTGGGAGTGTCTTAATAATATTAAGTATGTCCTCCTCCGTAACTTCTTTAGGGATATCTACCGTATATAGATATTCGGCGCTATGAACGTCTAATAGGTCTACTAGTTCCGGGAGAGAGAACATGGCCTCCTATAGGGCCTTAGTTTTCTTAAGGCTCGTGGAGTATATTCTTCCCTAATATATTAGGGGAGGCATAAGTGGCGGGGGTGTCGGAGTGTCTACGCCCTTAGCCTATTTCGCTATACGCTATAGCCCTATTACGTATCATATCTATTAGCTAGTAATTATACGCTACTATTTATACCTTTCGTTACGGAGGACTTTATCACGTTATTATATCGCTTCCTTCTATTCTTTCTACG